GGGACACTCTTGTGAGACACTCTTGCGGGACACTCTTGTGGGACACTCCTGTGGGACACTCGCGTGGGACACTCATTTGGGACACTCTTGTGGGACACTCTTGCAGGACACTCTTGTGGGACACTCTTGTCGACAGGCGCAGCAGGAAGGGGCAGATCTGCTGACGCTTGGTCAAGGTGTTCTTCAGAGACTTGAAGCGGAGGCGCTGGTCCGCCTGTGAGGCCTCTACCAGGTCGTCGAACAGCTTCTGCGTTTTGATCATCTTGACTTCGAGGTGGGCTTGAGGCTCTTGCTCTCGTTGCACCATTGGAGATAGGGCCGCTTGCCATCCTGTGAGATGATTTGAGTTTCACTGCATTCTGCCAGGATGGGCGTCCTGTCCAAGAGTGTTTGGCACACTTGTTGGAAGAGTACCACTTGCAGTGGCTTCTGTGTTGAGCTTCATATCCTTTTTCCAGCTGGTTGTGGTGCTCATCAAGGTGGGAAGGATTCCAATTTGATTCATCTGGAAGAACATCAGCAACTGGTCTGTAGAGGCCTGAGCTTGCTACCCAAATGCGTCTTGAACTTGATGCATCATGTCGTCGTCCTGGATCTCGAAGGTGCCCATGTTTCGGCACACGCGGAGGGGGTACCGGCTGTTCATGGGCTCGAAAGAAGGCAAGCTGCAGCGCAGCCGGGCAAAACTCTTCAACGCCTTCGGACTCTAAGCAATGACGGCAGCAGTCAAGGCGCATGCTTACGCAGGTTGGATACAAATCCAGGGCAGGTGGTCCCAAGGTGGAATGACTGGTCATGAGATGCTGCTCAACTTCCAAGAAGAAGCGGAATAGCAAATCTCGCACTCGGTGTTGAGGCTCGAACGAAGGGCATTTTCCCAGTACGCTTCCAGGTCTGGATCAGCAGCCTGGCTCAAGGAAAGCGGCAAGGTTCTGCAGGTGGAGCTGCTTCATGATGCGCCGCAACTTGAAGCATGGCAATCTGATTGAACACCACACATTGATGCTCCGGTCACTGGGCGCTTACGGGACACTCTTGT